AAATCTACCAAATTTCAGTATAACAATAATATATATTATAATAAATTTTGTATTGAGATTGAGAATTCCCCCTTTCTGAAATATTTTGGATGAGAATATCAGATCGAATATTAGTAACATAGCAAACCAGATATGAGTTTAACAATCAAATATCCATTGAATTATCGGATTTGATCAAGGGAAAATTACCAAAAACCAGGCATTAAGTTTGACATTTTAAAAAAATCTGGGTTTCACGTTTTTTTTCATTTATCAGGTTTTTTTTTATCATTTTAATTAAATAATTTCCATTTTTTAAAAGAAAAATAATTTCCATTTTAAAACCCTAATACCCATTCCTCACCTACTCTCGTCTCTCTCTCCGTCGTCTCTTGCCGCTGTCGCCTCCTCTCCTATCTCTCTTCTACACCCTTTCCCCCCCTTCTCTTCCCTTAATTGTGACGCTGTTGTTCACCGTATTGACGCTACCTGTGTAAACTATGAGGGCAGTGTAAACTGATTCATCTTGGTCAACGTTAGTTACGGTTCTGATCACTTTCTTGCTTTCATTTTCTTTCAAGTTTGATATGGCAATTGATGGGTAGTTCATGTTGGAGATGGAATCAGAATCTGATTCGGTGGGGCATGAAAAATTAGCTGGAAGAGACGACGCGATCTGGTTTATCTTGATTATGTTATAGCCAGTATAATAGAGGTATTGCAAGTAGTCGGTGATTTCAGTCTCATAAACTAACCCTGACTACAATGGCCCAGGTGTTCTTACTTCCCTTGCACCACCACCTCAATTGTAGCATGATGTTGTTTGTATGTTGGTGGGTTGTGAATCTGCGTGGTGGTGCAGTAGCGTTGGTGCTGATGTGTGGTGTTGATGTGTGTTTGTGTGGTGGTGGGTTGCAGATCTGTGTGGTGAAGGTGCTATGGTGGAGGTTGAGGTATGACTGTGGTGGTGGAGCTGCATTTTTTGCTGTGAGGTGGAGGTGGCTGTGGCAATAATTTGGTTAATTATTGTGGTGGAGTCAACGGCGGTGGTGGTTCTTTTTGGTGTTCGTGACCTAGCTATTGAACAGTGGCTTTAAAATTGATAATTTGTTGGTGTCTGTGACTAACAAATTTGAAAATACGTGACGTGATATATAATTTTTTTGATCCGTGACCAATAAAATAATCTGTAACCTATAAAATTTTAGATTTGTGATCTTGAAATAATCCGTGACCTACAAGATTTTTTATCTGTGACTGAAGAACAATCGCCGGAGTAGAGCAGAGGTGGATGTGGGGTGGAGTGGGGGTGTGTTAATTATATTATATTACTGTTAAATATTTAATTTAATATAATAATTGTGAAATATGATTAATTAACTTATGAAAAACCTGATTTTTGTAATTCTAAACCTCGGGCCTGATTTTTGATTTTGGGATTGTTTACATACAAAAAGTGTAGCCCAAATCGAGTAGCCCAAGGGATGAAACCCAGTTAGAAAGTCCAGGATGAATGCCCAAATATGACCATTAATGAATGCAGTGGAGCCCACGAACAAGGTAACATCATCACCCAAACTTGCAAGACGCCCAAGATCTGAGCGAGTGGAATGCTTTAAAATCGCCAAGAACCAATGAGCATATTCTCGCCCAAACCTTCGAATTGCCCAGGATCTTAGAGAACATGTGGTATTATGGTTATCCAGAACAGCAGTTATTAAAGCGATTATTGAGCAACCTTATCACACCCCCACGATCCAAGAATCACAGTTGTAGGTGGTTGAACGACGAGGGTAATGGCAACAGTTAGAGACGGCAGTTCCATGATAAGTCAACCATCACGAAGAAAGTGGGTAGTTATAGATCAATCAAGCAGTTTTCAAGTGGTTTGTCATGAATAAATTATCAAGGAAGTATAAAAAGGAAACGAAGATATAGAAAAAATGACCCCAAATCAAATACTTTAAACAGAGAATATGTAATTTCAATTTCTTAATTTAACTTTAAACATTTCTTTTAGTACTCGTGTGCTTGCGCCCCTTAGAGACATTTTGATTTATTTCCAATTGTAAATTATCGTCAATAAAACACCATTTTTTGAGGCTTTGTCTCAAGAGGTTTGTTCTTTACACAATCGTCTGAATCTTTTTTTAATTGTTAACGACAACCCACGCGAAACAGGGATAGATAAAGTCTGAGTTGTGAATTTTTCCCTTTGATCAAATCCATGCATTATTCTTATCGGATCGGATTGGGCCATATCCGATCCATTTATAGCTTAGTTTCTAGATTGCAAATAAAATGAACAATGAAGTGATTAGTAAAGGAAGTTATCGATTTTTTTTTTTTGCTCCATCTCCTTAACTGGTGATGGATTTTTGGTAATTTATGTGGATTTTCCATTATTAATGTTGATAAAGATGAAAGACTTTAATTAAGGGTTTAATAATGGGGTACTTACAAAATACCTTTAAAATTATGGATGTTTTG